TTTGTAGAGATCATGATCTTATGTTTTTATAGAAAAAAGTTTAATTAATGTGGAACTTATATTTAAAAAATGTGCTATTTATTTCAAAATTTTATTGATTTTGAATTCTTTTAATTTTTTCTTTTATCCTGTATTCTCTTTGCATACTTGTTTTTTGGTGTGAGACTTTTTTTGAGAAAAATCTTTATTAAATCTTAGATAAATGTGTAAAATATAAAATTAAATTAGTATAAATTATTTTTATAAAAAATTAAATAATAAGAGGGACAGGGCGGATGTCCTACATATGCGGGGCGGGTAAGGGTCAGAAAATATCTGACCCGTAAGATGCGGGTCGGGTCAGTTAAATGATGGATGGGGCAAGTACTCGACTGGCGCCCACCTATCAACCTTTTGAGCTTCTCAAATGGGCCTACAAAATAACAAAGAATAAAAAATAGTCATAATCTCCTAACTTACCTCACATTTGCACACTTCAACATTGATTCAAATGAACAAAATTGGTATGCACTATTGGTAAATCAAAACATGTTCCAAAAGTCAGACATGTTATTGCAACCATATCAATAGCCGGTTATTTTGTTTCACATATTACCCTGTCTTTCCTATCCAAATCCAAATTTCCAAAAGAAAGCAGATCATACATGTTCGTATGCCAAAACCCGAATTGGAGAATTCCACTATTGGACAGAAAATAGGAGCGAAAATAACATGTCACTTGGCTCATTGTCTAGTCCAAGAAAGGAAATTTAGCATCAATTATATTTCACGTTCCTTTTCCTCGTGTACTAAGGATATATGCATAATTTAATCATATCTAATTTGCATAAACAGCCATATAAGGTTACATATCCAACATTACAATCCTTATCTGTGCAGAAACTTTAGAAATCTCTGTCCACAAAAGAACAATAATGACCAATAAATGAAGCATCCAATTTCAGTAAAACCACATTTGTTTTTTTCTTGAATTTGGCTATTGTTTCCTTATTAGATGTCCGTTACAGTAAAGTTTAGCCCAAGTCACAAGATATGTGTCCATGCTGGTAAATTTGCAATGTAGGAAAACAACAAAAGGTCGTCATGAGGATTGTCAAATTATTCTAAAACAACAAACTTTTCTCTAATTTGTGATTATAAGAGAGGAGGAGTTCTATAGTACTTTTCGGGTATTATATCGTTATATATTAATTCACCGTTGATGCATAAAAAGGGATATCAGTACTTAATGATTTTAGGAGTTTAAATTATTGAATGATGTGATAAGACTTTATTGGATGAGAATCATGGGTATGATGTTCAAAAGAGATTGTAGAATTTTGCATCCCATAAATAAACTTCCACAATTTTGTGTTATCAATTTTACCTTTTGAAAAAAATAACTTGGTTACTCATTTGGAATGAACCAAGGCGACCGAGTTGAGGTGCTATCAAAATATAATATCTGTTGTTGTGCTCTGGTTTTTATGGATCATTAACACAAACATGTTATTCATTTTTTTTTCCAACAAACGACACAAACATGTTATTCAATGTTGAGATTCACGGTAAAGAATACATCAAATTTGGAGTTATATATCCATAAAAGAATAGGAAAAAAGAAGAACGGTCACAAAAGTGTATTTTATATTACAAGAGACATCTTGTGACATCAGATACTCGTCTCCACATTATAGCAAAAGACAAAGTGGGGGTAGTAGGGCAATTGCCCTCATTGATCCCACCAAAATCTTCATATCTGCATATAAATTTATAGTTTTATTCCTATACTTAAATGAAATTGTCCCCACCAGCCTATTGCAAAGTTTAAGTATTAGAGAATTGCCTAGCCAAAATCTCCATGTATGCTTATAAAATTGTAGGATTGCCCCCACACTTAAATGAGATTACCTTTGCTACCCGTCAACAAAATGTAAAGTAGTAGTGTACACTTTGTTTATATATATGTCTCAATATCTAAATAATTTAACAACACTTAAAATAAAGAATGATACTGAATTTGCATTTATTCTTCTAATTTATCTATTCTAATGTGCTCCCAGTACACAAACTTATTGGAAAAGTTTTTTTTTTATAACTTTTTTTACTACATACTAAAACTCACAAACATTGCTCATTTTTTATTTCATCCTAACAAAAGTCTAGAGAAAATTTATTAGGGTCGTGAGAGGAGAAGTGGAGGTATCCTTTATTAGGAATTTAAGATTTGAGAGATATTTATTTTGTTGCTAAATTGTAAATTAATTATATACATAACTTGCGGCGTACATTATTAGTTAAACATACTTTATTTTCATATTGTAATTAGTAAAATTTCACATATTAACTTTGCCCCTATTGAATTTCTTTTCTAGCTCCGCACCTGAGTGTAGCATATTAGATTCACATCAGAAAAACACTTACGTCCCAAATGTACTACACTATCGATGAAGAACCATTTGTGGTTAAATCTTAACTAAGCAACAACTGCAGTTATGGTGCATACCAATGGTACTGCCTTTTCTTACTCGTAGATCCTTTTCATCGTCTAATAATAGTTTTGGCAAAAGTACAAATTGATAGATACATTTGCCTACAAGTCGCTTATTGCAGATAATGCAAGCTGGTGTTATTATTTTTTCTTTTTGGCTACTATTCCTATTGCAATAACTAATTTGCATGCCGACAAACCTTCTGGTTTATTTACACTTTTTATTTGACAGACAAATTATTGACTAAAGTTTTATGTTTATAACTAGTACTAAGTAAATTAAATCTAAAAAAAAATTAAAAGTATTCCATAAGCTCAAATGGAGTGAGATTTTCTTTTTCTTTTTTTTTTATGTAGTTATGATAAAGTATTTTGACGCTACTCTGATAGAAACATTTATCAAGAGAAAATAGTAGTCAAGATACTATCAACAGGTTTTGATAACGAAATAAACCTAACTGGGACAAAACATGTTCTTGTACAATAGATCTAAAGATAGTGAATAATGTTCGCATTAATGAGACTTAAAATTCATGTCTAAATAAATATATTAAACAAAAAAACTGTTTTAAACAAATCAAAAAGATTTCTATAAAACTATTATTGTGGCAAGTATGCGGAAAGACACATTATATACATTAGGGTATGATATTAAAAGTTACAATTGAAAGAAATATGTGCACCAATAGTATATGAAACGCGACAATTTCTCAAGAGCAAAAAGTAAGTGTTTTGTAGGGTTAAAAGTCAATGAGATGTGAGAAATAAGTGTTGATATGGGCAGTTGAAATGCTGATTTGATAACTAGCAATTGGTATCGTGCAATATCGAATTCGGGGCTATAGTAAGACCTTTCAAATGTTACTTTCTGGAAAATAATATCTTGTTCATATGAATAAACAAATATCGGGGGAGGGAACCGTTGGGTGGTACGGGGGAGGGAGTGTAAGTGTGAGGTCTCGGGTTCGAGTTTTCTTGCTGACACTAAAAAATATATATATATAAAGAATAAACAAATATCAAAATTCTATATGACAATGCAGCAACACATTGGAAACACTTTTTAAAATAGTTATAGGTTTTTCTTTTTAATAAACAATGCCTTAGAAACATGTGTAATAATTTGAAATTGAGAATTATAAAATGACAATTTCTGTAATACAAAATTATTCTTACCTAGAAATTCCACACCATTTCTTGCTAATAAGTGTGGAAAGTATTTATGCATTAAAAAGCATAATATATTTTTGACCATTTATCTTTACAGGCACAACATAATATATATTTACCTGTTGATATAATATAATAGAAATTGGCTTTTAACATAAAAAAACCTCTTGTTAGTATTACGCGACAAATTAGACATGCTGACTACACATTAACAAATCAGACAAGTATCAAAATATATCAATTTATCAAATTTAACAAATCAGACAAGTATGACTACACATTAACAAAATATATAAATTTTGCATATCGTAGTTCTTTCCTAAAAATTTCCCGCCAATATATTATATTGTAGCATGATTGACCTTTCGTAAAAATTTCCCGCCAATATTTAATAGCAAGCATATATGTTATGAACGAGTTCGTTAAGATTTTAGATATGGTGGACTAAGAACCAATAAAAATTTTCAAACTTCTTGATCTCTATTATTTAAAAGCTTAATTGATCATCTAACATGTTTTGATAATTGTTCAGTTTACTTATAATATAACTAAAAACAACTTAATCTTAAGGCATACAGTTACATGAAAAATTAGATATACATCTCATGTATTTTTTATATATCAATTTATCATATCCGACAAATGATTAGACACGTGTATAACAATACAATAATGAACAAGATTTAAAATTTTAACTACATCGTAGAAAGATTATGCTTTCCTAAAAGTTTGCCACCAATATTTATTAGAAAGTATATACACACGGACAAGTTCGTTAAAATTTTAAATATGGTGGACCCAAGAATTTAACGCTAATAAAATTTTCTTGGATCGATTGGCGTTGTTAGCAAAATACGACAAGAGTTTGTTACGATTTATAGTGATCGCATTCCTCATATGTAAAAAAAATTATTACACAATTTCTCAAACTACTTAACCTCTTTTAGTTAAAAACTTAATTGATCATTTAATATATTTTTAAAATTGTTGCATTTACTGAATATCTTTTCACACTACACTTACAATCCAAAAAAGAGGAAAATGATATTAATACAAGATGTGATGAAAAGTTGCTTTTCCTAATTTCCTTATTTGGAAAACGTAAAAATATAGTAGAATTCAGAAAATTAAAAAAATTAGGAAATGAGTTTTGGGATTAATTTATATACTATGTATGTATATAGTGTGCATCTTACGAGATATTACAGCCATACCAAACGAACCATTCCCCACCCCAAATGCCAACCTAGCTAGGTTTGCCTTATCACTCTTTACCTTTCCTTTGCTATATATATATATATATATATATATATATTTATATAGTCATTAGTCACCAGTGCACGCACACACCATTCATACATTCAAATTACCATCCTTCATTTCCCCATCCCTTGTCTCAAACACCAGCCTTAGATTGAAAAAGTAAACAAGTCCAAGGGGAAAGTAGGCGCACCAAAAATGGTGGTGAACCATGCTCAAACCCCGCTTGGTGTACGTACGAGGTCCATGACTCTGGAACTCAAGCGTATACAGAAGTTACCTGCTTCACCATCAGCTGCATCTGCAGCCATTGGAGATGGTGGATCCTATCTGCAACTGAGGAGCCGTAGGGTGGAAAGGCTCTCACCATTTGCTGCTAAAGCAAAAACCCGAAAGATTCTCAAGGGTTCGACTTCAAAGAGCCAGGGAACTAGGCCAGCCAGTGAGAATCAAGAAAGTGAGAAAGACAAGGGGAAGCGTCCAATGCTGGAGGAGAATGAAAATGAGGAGAAAAACAAAAACCCTGATGATTTGAAGGTCATGGAGTCCTCCTGGGGAGAGAACAACTTGGAGGCTAAAAGTGCTGAAAGGTGGGTTTATTTCTGTTTTGTTGACTTTTGATGACTTTATATATATATATATATATAAAGGTTTTCATTGTTTTGCATAAATGGAATTTATGTTTTTGGTGCTAACATTGAATTTTAAGAAGTTGACACTGAAATTTATTTGGTTTCAACAAAAATGTTTTGCAAGTTTTAAATTTCAATCTTTTACAAGATATAGTTTGGCTAGTTGAAATTTTTTCTATGCTGTCACTAAAATGTGATTGAAAATGATAAAGTCAGAATTGGTTTTTTTTTTTTTGTTTTTAAAGGAGGAATAGTTTTGGATTTTGATAGAATAAATTTTTTCTGCAAAAATCTCTTTGTTTTTATTAAAAATGCATTACTTTTGGGTGTTTCTTATTTGGGTCCTTGATTGTGTGCATTGGTATACATATGGAAACCCCGATTTGGTTTAGACCCTTCTATTGTTGCTTGAAGAATGAGGTATATTTTAAAAAATTGAATGTTTTCACCATTCAATATGGTTTTAAGGATTTTTGTAACTTTTTTAGCATTTTGATTTTACTCTATGCACTTTATTAGATTCTTGAAATATTAGCAAAGAAATTAAAAAAAAAATCTAGAGTTTTGTTGGAGTGTCACAGCCACGTGGTTGTTCGAATTTGTACACCTCAAAGTGTATTTTTTTTCTTGTGCTATCCTTAGGAATTCTTTTCCACAAATTTTTGTTACAAACATTTGTCATGACTTCCAAGAATGGTCTCCTATATATGATTTTAGCAAAGATTTTTAGCTTTTCAATTTCATTCATTCGAGAATATCAAGATTCATTATTTTTTTAAAAAAAAATCATTCTTTTTTTTCAATTATTTTCTCATTGAGTCCCTTGAATCCTATGAATCAAACTTGATGGACCTAATCGAGTTGATTCGATTTGATCTCAATTACAATGATTCAAGCCGTGAACTCGTTTTAATCGTTAATTGCATGTTCATCTTCTAGGTTGGGTTCATTTTCTGACTTTTTTGGTTGATTGCTAACCAATTCAATTATTTGCTACTTTACTTATTTGGGAAAATTCGAGTTATTCAAAATGTGCTTCTTAACTTGAGGATCCAAGTCTTAATAGTTTTCCCAAATAGACACACCATTTACAAGACAAAGTTTCTTTCCGTCAAAGGGCTAGCAATTTTTGCCAATATCTATTTGTGTGTTTGCTAATAGCATGTTTATACATTGTGCTATTTGTGCTTATCCGTTGGTGTTTGACCAAATTGCCAAATAATTGTACTAACAGCTGTTCCATCCCACGTTACTCTGTGCTTATAAGATTTCAAATTCTAATCCTCCTTTTATGGCAATTTACTTATATCTAAGCATTTCTTATTTTAATTTATGGATCTAACGAGTTCGGATTCCTTCAATTTTCTTTTTAGGGCCACAAGGGAGACCACGCCAGTCCATTTGATTAGGGATCCAAACGCTCTGGTTCTTCCCCCCTTTTCAAGCACCAGGCGTCGCTACACCCGCACCACAAGGGCCAATCCAAGGCAGTTCATTAACCCGGTAGAAGATTACCTGAACGCACTTTTTGGTGATCTTGAAGAGAGGCATAAAAACAAGTGCATTGAGAAGTATGTGTGAGGGTTTTTATTTCCTAACAAGGCCATTATTTTTCTTCTTCTCATGAATTTCCAGCTTGTGGACAATTAGACAAAGACATTTTCTTGATGAATATTAATTTTGTGCAGGTACAACTTCAACTTCGACAAGGAAGAGCCGCTACCTGGCCGTTATGATTGGGAGAAATTGATGCCTTAATTTGGTTTAGGAAAAGTGTTAACAGGTGATGGAAATCCTTGTACTTCCATTGTCGTGTCTTTTATGTACAAAATAAGGGGACTAGGGTAGTGAAGGACTTGTCGACTAATGATCTGTAACATGTTAAAGGAGATAGCTCAGTTTCTTCAATTGTCTAGAAGTTCATTAGAACTTGTTTGTTGTCGTCGTCGCCGCCGTCGTCAGTTGTGTTTGTATAAGTTTCTTTGTTTATTGTTCGTAACTGTACTGTGTGGAACTCTTTCAAAGAATTAATAAAAAAGACCGATTTCCTTTGTTGTACTTTTGGCCTTCTTTTTGACTGTTTTCTTGTGAATTTCTTTTTCCTATCAAATCTGGAAATCTAACCTTGTTTGGATTGCCGGTTTCCGTCTAAAAATTACGTCGTTTTCCGTGATTACATTTCCCTATTACCTTTTTCCCTCACATACATCAAATCGTTACAGTAATTTTTCCATGAAAAATCACGCAAAATGCAATCCAAACACAACGAAGTTTGAATCCAGAATTCTAGAACTCCAAGTGCTAGGCCTATCTTAAAATGGAATTTCTAGGCCTCTCAATTTTCTATCCTGTTCATGAATTGCTTTTTGGGTACCCCATCCACTATTTATATATACATAATTGGCGTTCTTAGACGGTGGTAGGAGGTCACAGATTGTCAATGGCCTATCATTTTTAGCTATGGGTGGGTATATATATATATATATATATATATATATATATATATATATATATATATATATATATATATATGTATATGTGCGTATATACATATCACTTATATGAAATTTATGCAATGAGACACAACTTTGATTTAAAATTTATAATCCAATTAAAAAGGGTTAATTACATTACCTCCCTCGAGGTTTGGCCAAACCACCAATCAATCCCTGTGGTCTCAAAAAATAACAGATACCTCCTTCAAATTTATTACCTTTAACAAAAGCCACCCTACCATCTAAAATCGTTGGAAATTCTACTAGTGCCAGCCAAAAAATTAAAGTGAAAGTCCAAAAATGTCCTCCCATGTGCCATTTATCTTTCTATTCTTTTATTCAAAAAATAGCCTTTTTCATCCGAACAAAGATTAAATAATGAAAACACTCCCAAAAAAGCACCCACAATCTTTTCCAATAAATATTATAAAAACATTTTTCAAATCATTGAAAATTGTTTCCATTGACAGATCCCTATATAGGTGAGTAAAATTTTTGCTTAAAATGCTACAGGTTAGCCATGAAAGACATGATGAGTTTAAAGATGTACCATCCTTCCAAGCTCTTATCACTTCAACAAGCCAAACAATACTACTACAATCTTCTGTTTTGTTTTGGTTATCAACAGGATTAGAAAGCAAAATATTTGAATAAACAAGAAAGAGTACATTGTTCATAGTTTAAATATTAAAACTTTGAACCATGTAGAGGAGAAATGGTTAATAGAGAAGGAGAGAGAGTGTAGAAATATGATGATAAATAGGATGATTGCTATAATGGTGGCTGGAGTAATGGCAAATATATAGGAGACCTCTATAGTTTTTCCCGCCAAAAGGCTATTTGTGTAATTTTAAAATAATTTTTTTTTAATTTTAGAAATTGATCAGACATGATGAAGGGCGTTTAGTCTTTTTTTCTTACTTCCGTTCATCACAAGTGATTGGGGTTATTGTGAGGGGCATCTGTTATTTTTTAAAACCACGAGAATTGATTAGTAGTTTGGCCTAACCTCGAGGGAGGTAAATGTAATTAACCCAATTAAAAATAGTAAAGAACAAGGGAAAAAGCTATGGTGGTTACGGAGGAACCAACTCCGATCCCTCCACAAAAACCTCCCACCTTTCTGTTTATTTTCTCTCAAATAATAATAGCTTTTAATGACTTTGACTGGAAAAGAAAGTGTTAGGAAATTGGCTTAATTTCTTTTAGACAGGTTTTTTGCTTTGTGTGGAAGTAACTAGTTTTCTAATTGGTTTTAGTTACTTAAAATAGTAGTCAAGAAATTTCCTATTTTGTTTAGAATTAGAAGTTATTTCCTATTCTGTGTAAGTTTTGCAATTATAATTAGTTTCCTGTTATTATTTGGATTTTTTGGCCAAATAATATTTCCTATAAATAGGTGGGTTGACCTACTACACAAGAGACACATAAGAGCGCACAAGAGGCAACATGTAGCCTTATACATGAGGTGAGAGAGGGTTCTTGAAAGATGAGAAATGGTATATAAGGGTTGGGATTGGGTTCAAATTGTATTCTTGTATAGGGTTTTCCTCTCATAATAAAGAACGGGTTTCTCTCCGTGGATGTAGCTTCAATGGTGAAACCGAATCACGTTAAATATATTGTGTGTCATCTATCTTTCATGCTTGTGACTTGTCCCTCATTGAATTGTTATGTATTCGATATTTCAATAGTTGTGTATTCCACACTTGAATTCTAACAGAAAGTATGAGGATGGATGAATTTTGATGTTCTCTATTAATCAGCATTAGCTCTCTGGATTGCTATGAGGGTGGATAATAGCTTTTTAAGGACTTGAAAAGTAGGATTGCTATTTTTAAGGCCCTAAAACTTCAATCCTGTTTGAATTGTTATTTTTATGAGTTTTTTTTTTTTAAAATGTGTTATAACAATTTGATATATATGAGATAAAAAGATGATTATAACAGGAATTCACAAAAATGTAAAAATTTTTTGTACAATACTTATCACCAATAATTCAAATAAGCATAATTTCCCCTAATTTTAGCACATATCTTGCTACATTTTACCTTTCTAATTGCAATTTTGTAATACAGACAGACACTAATATATAGCATGGTTTAATAATAGGCCAAGACCACGAGTAAAATGGCATAAATTGATATAAAAAAGATATTTTGCAGATGGTTTGATTAGCTAGCCAAATGATAAAATGAGTTGATAAGATTATGCTTATTTGATTAACTAGCTTAGTTGATCAAATTGTGCTTATTATCTGCTGTTTATGTTAGTATTGTCTTGACGCAAATTTCAGATATCACGACATGGATAAACTTTGGAGTTATCTAAAACAACAGCATTTCATCTGGTGGACCCTAAAAAACTTTGTTCTTTTCTACTTGACAATTAGGATTGGCATGAGAATTGCTCATCCCTCCCTGGTGCTATAGATTTTGTTGCCGTTAGAAATTAATTATAAGAGCATCCGTTACAAATTGCTTATTCACCTCCGCAAAACACTTGTATAGGCACATGAATTTTCTTACATATTTTCTTATATATTTCTCGCCAGCACTTTTTATCCATCAGCAAATCAATACTGGTGAAGAATTGGGAATCGACCTTTGAATTTCATTGTTAGTTTCAATTTCAAATAATTTTGGTTAATCATTAACTTGTTAAAGTACGAGGCATATCACCAATAAATCAATTAAGTCCCGTAATTAACATGATGGCTAGCTGAATCCTACATTCTACACCGAAATATTGATAGAAAGATTGATTTTTCTGTCCAAACATAAATTAGAGGTGAAACAAATGTTTAGGTGAGCTAAGAACGCTGCTCAATAAGCTCATTCCTTGATTGTGCATGAGAATTACTATAGTACAATTTGTGCCATTTAGCTTTACAATTTGACTGGAGACTGGTTCAGTATTTAAAGTTAAAGGATTAAGATCTTAATATATTAAGATACGTTTGATAACAAAAAATAGAATATTTGAATTAATTAAGTGGCGCTGAATGTTCTAAGTAAAACTTGCTCCCAAAAATAAGTGATAAATCATTTACTTATCAGTTAATGTGATATACATTCAAATATACTAGATTTAAACACTGTTTAATAAATTAATTCAGTATGTAAACTTAATGGATTTAGATTTTAACATATTCAAACTGTTTGAAAACAAAAAATTGAACATCTGAATTAATTAAGTAGCACTGAATTTTCTAGGCAAAATTTGCTCCCAAAATTAAGTGATAAACTATTCACTTATTAATGAATGTGATATACACTCAAATGTATTAAATTTAATATTTAACGATTCAATAACTTAATAGATTCAAATTTTAGCTTTCAGATTTCAGACTTTTTATCAAACGCACTCTTAGTGCTTAATAATTTAGTAGCTAATGGATTCAAGTTTCAAATTTTAGTTTTCAAATTTCAGCTATAAGGATTTTTCTAGTAAATTGTTAATTAAAGTACTAAATAAACACTTATTTGGCTTTACTAGGCGTGTATGATAACAACTAACTATGTATGCACATGTAGCACATATGTATATGTATGTATAGCTGTTGAATCAATAATTATGGGTCACAGCTCATTCGAAAAATGTCAAATTATGGGATACCACCCAATAACGTTATACTTTTATCGTACCAAAAATTTAGTAAGTTAATTACTCAACACTAAAATAAAAATCAGAAAGATGGTGTGACGCGTAGGATTGGAATAGTCAATATTACCTCTATATAAAATTGAAGCCTTAAAAATTGGCTCTCTTATTAGCATATTATATTCTTCCTCATTTATGTGGACGAATTTCTCAAAATATTGCTAAAATAAAAAATTGTCACAAAAGTGGCGTGATTTTGGAATTTAAGGGTGGCTGCAATTCCAATACGAGGCTTCTAATAAAAGTAGTTTTAATTTGTATTTATTTTGGCTTGCTATAATTTTCTCAATTTTCTCCTTTTTTTTTTCCAAGCTTTTGCCGCTCATCTGATGAGTGGCGAAGCATTGTTTTTTATTTTTTTCCTAACGCCGCAAATTTGATTTGCGGCATCCGGAGACGGGAAATTTGATTTGCGGCGTCAGTAAAAGAGGTCTATCCAAATATATTTGGCATACAGGTGGGTAGTTGGTAATCTTCATTTTAATGATAAAGGAAGCTATCCAGAGAGGGATACTACTGACATCGCATGTCTCACCACCTGTAATAGATCAGTTAATTTCTTATCACAAATATTCTTTGAGTTAAAAATTCAGTTTATTTAATAAAATCTACTCCCCTTTGGGATTGCACCCGACGTAGATTGCGGCCAAAATATTTTTTTTTAAAAGTGAAATTGCAATTTTGTTTTTAAAGTGAAACCTTATGTACCACTTTTGCATAAGGACCTCAGCTGGCTTCTCACCACTTTTGCACATGGACGAACACAGCGTTTCCATTAGTGCTCCTTTTAAAACGTCCATACATGGTTCTTGTTTTACATGCGGTCAAACTCCGGCGTTTGATCCCTCCATTGATGATG